ACTGGCCAGACAGGAAAAGGAATTCAAATTCAAATTTTCCCGGGGCTTTTCCTGTGTGGCTGGACTGAGCATCCGAGCTCGCACTGCTGTCCAGAGCGTCAACAGAGTGGTGCACTGTGGGATAGCTCCCGGAGCTATTAGCGTCGATTTCCATCCACACCTAGCCTAATTCGACATGGCCATGTCGAATTTAGCGCTACTCCCCTCGTCGGGGAGGAGTACAGAAGTCGAATTAAAGAGACCTCTATGTCGAACTAAATAGCATCGCAGTGTGGACGGGTGCAGGGTTAATTCGATGTAACGGCGCTAACTTCGACATAAACGCCTAGTGTAGACCAGGCCACAGACACACAATCATGAGGCTCTCCATCCTGAGGCACCGGTAACAGGGAAGCAGGGTTCAGAATGGGGCAACGGGCCAAGGTAATATGAAACAAAGATAGCAGAATAAGCTCATACTTGGTAAGTCGAGAAGTAGGCAAATGCTGCCTCTTAGATTTGAGCAAAAGAGCTGCTACAGCATGAGGCACCGAGACTGTTAAGGATGAGCCCAAAACAATGGATTCAGATAATTGTACAGCTAAGGCAGTTGCAGCAACTGCATGAAGGCAGGGTGGAAAGCCAGTTGCCACTGGATCCAGCGCAGAGCTATAATAAGCAAGTGGACGGTGTTTATCCCCAGGTTTTTGTGTTAACACAGCCAAAGCAAATCCATTGCGCTCATGACAGAAAAGAATAAATGGTTTAGCATAATCAGAGAGTCCAAGAGCTTGTTTAATAGTTACAAAGGCTTGTTCTGCCTCCTGGGACCACAAGAGTGGCTCAGGGGTGTCTGTTTTAGTTAAATCCTGAAGTGGTTTGATGATTGTTGCATAACCCAAAATCCACTGCCTGCAATATCCAGTCATGCCAAGGAAGGTTCGCATTTGAGAGATAGTAACAAGCCTAGGCATTTTAGAATAGCTGTAATACGAGAATCTGACAAATGACGAGAGCCAGATGAAATATCATGACCTAGGTAATGTACTCTAGGTTGGCACAACTGAAGCTTTTCCCAGGAGGCCTTTTAAAGCAAGAGCAGTTAAAAGAACCACAGTATCAGTTTTACAAGATTCAAAGGAAGGAGACGCAAGCAAAAGATCATCCACATATTGTATGAGAACAAGTATCACGGGGTAGCCATGTTAGTCTGTATCTACAAAAACAACAAGAAGTCTGGTGGCACCTTAAAGACTAACAGATTTATTTGGGCATAAGCTTTCGTGGGTAAAAACCTCACTTCTTCAGATGCATAGAGTGAAAGTTACAGATGCAGGCATTATATACTGACACATGGAGAGAAGGGAGTTACTTCGCAAGTGGAGAACCAGTGTTGACAGGG